ATCCCTGTATATGTTTTATTTACTGAACATAGAAGATGTAAAAGCCCCTTGCAGGACAAAATGTGTGACATATATATTTATATTTGTTTTTCCAGATTGCATTCTACAATAAGTTAAAAATATCTTTTTGAAGTAGTTAGATAATTATATTATATCATTGAAGACCAAGTTCGTAAATTTTATTTACATTATGTAGTCATGGTTGGTAAGTAACCACACGAATTAATAGTAAGTGCATTTTTTCAGCAATGTTTCCTCGACAAGACTATTCTTCCTGATCTAAGCGCTGTTTTTTCAGCTGGATGCAGATCACAACAGGTAGGTAATATTCTATTGGTATTTAAACAGATTAGATCTCGAAATTACTTTGAAACAGTTGGAATTGTCATTATCATTGTATAGCATATCATGTCATGTATTTAAGTAGGAATGTGAGAAACTTAATATGATTAGGCTACACCAATTTGATTCCTAGTTCTTTGGATTTTCCCGCTCCTGCTTTTTTTCACATAGACGCTTTTGTATTGAATATTATCGCCGAACGTTTTAAACGCACATATGTAAAATCGATTTGTATATAAAAAGTCAAAAATCGGGATGCCAACATGAAGTTATGTCAGCTCATTTCCGTGGACAAGAAGTTATTGAAAACACATGATCCGATATCCTTCTTTTTTACCTTTGTAGATCTTTTCTGGGATGCAAACATTATAAATTTTCGTTAAATGACAAGAAACACATCAATATTTGTGAGAACCATCGTCATTCCCGATCCTTGTTTCAACAGGCATATGCCTATCTGTCTTGGATGAAATTAATTGTAAATTCCCATGAAAGTTTTTAAAAATCGCAGAAGTATTTGATTTTGATGAAACCTCATATATGCTGTTAGTCTTTTGGCATGCATTCAAAAGTCTTCATTTGTTATGAGAAATTTAAAGAGAACCAACGAAACCAAGGTGATGGTATTATGATTGGCATGCGCATCATGCTTAGGGATTTGTGATCGATTCAACATTTTTTAGTCAAGTTAAAAAGTTTTAAACGGATAGCTGCTTTTAAGAGCAAAAGGAAATAGTATTTTGGTCAGTCAGAATAATGTATCTGAATTGGGTGACAAGCAATTGAAGGGAACATTTTAATACCTTGAAATTTACGTTTATAGCAATATAACTATCTTGCTCGGCATGTTGCTTTATTACAAAGAAAGAAATATTCGTTCATTATCTTGATCCTGAGTATGGATGATTAGATCAAACTGGATCTCAAGCAGCCAACCAATAAACAATCATTAACATATAATGAAAACAACTTCAATCTAATCTATTTCAGGAACATTTGTTTAGATACATACACATATTTTAATTTTATTCAACAAGTGTCATTTACCTAATTAACATGATTCCTCTTGTAAAACCCTTGAATCTCTTTCATTAAACCTTCACCATAAAGAAGAGTACCATAAATAGATATGCATGACAAAATGTTTTATTAGATACAAAAAAGATTGCAGTCACTGTGGTTGCTATGCTTCCTTATATATGTATATATATATATAGATTTAAATGAATATTTAGCCCGCAAGGATTACTTGAAGAAAATAACCAAAATTAACTAAACCACAGTGAGACAAGAAAGTCTGGTATGGTACAGACACCAATAAGTCAGTCTACAAATATATATGCATTAGAGCATCTGTTGTCCTCCTCGTTATTCAATGAAGTAACCCAGTTATAACATGTTCATAAATTGTACAACTTCAAAATCGCACAATTTATAAAAGTATATATACCGCTCGCTTTACTTGTAGAGCACTGGCCTTAAACACTAATTTGCAAGAAAAAAATTAAAAACAAAAACATTTCCTTGCTCGCCCCAAATCTTTTGGAACAGTTAGTTGTCCGAAGAACTAGATAGTTGGTTTGGCCTTACTAATTTAAGCATGCATGTTTTTAAGATTTACAATTTATTTTTCAAAAAAACTGAAGAGCAAATGGAACTCAAAACGGAAAAAAACAGTAGATGATTTTTAGTCTTAAACGGTCATTTTTAGCTTAACATCCTCTGAAAAGTCAGAACAATATTAAATTAGGTTCAGTTTCAGACAATTCGACTGCTGTCAATTCAGTACCGTTCAGTTGTTTTTCAGGCAATTCAAGATTTTGTTGATGTTTACAGGTTAATAACAACTAATGAACAGTTTGAAAATAGACTGAACTGATCATGATTGACTATTACCGGATTGTCTGAACAGTACTGAATTTAAGTCTAAAAATTGGCGGAAAGACTGAAAATGACGTAATGATTTATAGTCCTGTCTTTTTTAGAGCTGTTTAAGATCAAAATTGGGTTACTAGTGCAAGGTTTGCCGACTGGTGCTATATAATCATTGTTATTTTCCAAATTCCGTTGAAACATCCAGTGGAACCTGTTAAAATCATGACTATGATACAAATGGTTATAAAGTCAGATTTATATAACAGAAATGTTGAATCAATGACAATAGTTAGAAGACCACTTCAAACACTTGCCTCGAAATATAGGCGGCTAGCTGCTTTCGGATAGGATTATTCATCTATTATTGAAATAACAATGTTTTGCATTGTATCAACTGAGTAATTAATTGCATAGAACGAGAATGTTCAATGTTTTATTATTTAAATCTACTTTATTTCACTATAAATAAAGTTGAAAACTGATTTGAAATGTATAATAAAGAAGTGTTTCTGTCCTTGATGATCTGTAACTTGACCTACTGAAAGATCAAAGATCTTGGTAATTTCCAAACGCTCGCCTTAAATTTCATGTTTCAAGCGTAATCAGTTGGTACGTGTATACGCGCATAAATGGAGAAGTCCAAATTGGGCTACCTCTTGCATATATGTTTATGTGTTAAATATATAGGAAGCAAACAAAACTGATAAAACGATATTTTACATCCTAAATTTTACGGTAATATTGTACTTAAAGCGTGGAAATCACTATGTGATCCGTGTAAACTCATCGAACCTTTAAACAAACTTATTAGTAAAGGTTATCTTACCAATGTTGTAATTAGATCTTTGAATATAGTTTACATTGGCACTAATATCGATTTTGTCATCAGCAAATTAAAACATAACTAAATTTGTATTCTTTTAAAACGGGATGTATAAAGAGACACCCACGTTCATTTTGATCTATAAAGAGGTTAAACTAACTATCCTACTGCCTGTCGATACTTTTATTTTTGGCTTTGCACAAGTCATGTCATCTTTGACTGTCCATGACGTTAAAATACTAAATCCCTGGGATTTTATTTAGTTGATTTTAGTCTCTGATGTATGATTTTTTATTATTAATTGTTTTTGGCTTTTAACTGGCTGTCAGTAACTGCGAGTACTCTCAAATCGTACTTTCTTGTTTATTTGACCTGTTGATACTTATTGTAATGTTTTTTTGTTGTTATTTAATGTTATTCAGGGTTATATCTGGTCTATATACCAGCTTTGATAAGTGTTTGGTATTACTATAAATTTTCACTTCGTACTATGAACATTAAAAATATTTATTTTGTAAAAATATTTCCTTTCTCTATTTGAACTGTACACGTATACCTAACAACAAAATTATTTTCATTTACCTGTGTTTAAAGGAATTATAGTTATCTCGAACCATTGTAAACTTGTTGTCTCCCTTGAATACTCTTTTTTAAACTTTTACTGACAACTATTTGATTTAATTTTTAATCATTCCAAATCAGTAACATTGAATAAATTTGGGTATTTTTCTATTGTTTCTAAAAGGAATTTTATTTAATGAAAGAATTTATTTATTGTGTTTTAAAGGTTTAAAATTATTTATGACCAACAGTTAGAAAGTATGAAATTTATTTTTATACAATATTCAGCACATATGAGCAGAATATGACCATACTAATATGATCAAACAAGTTGATTAGCTAATAATCAACCAATAATCACACAATCAAAGGAATTTAATATATTAATTAGCATGGTAATTAAGAAATTACATTCGTATTTTGTCGAAGTTTTCATTAAAATCTGGTATAAAATTCAAAGATATTTTAATTTTTTGTATCAAGCTTAAAAAAAATAATCATAAAACGTTCATATTTTTGTCTAAGTTTTCATTAAAATCTAGTATGAAATTCAAGTAATTCAACTTTTTTTATTTAGTTTACCAAAATAAAAATCATAAGACATTCGTATTTTTGAATATATTTTTAATGGTACGAGTTTGGAGTTGTACGAGTTCTGATTGGTACGAAGTAATTGCAAATGGCTGATATTTTTGTTCGAGCGTATTGTTTTTCTTAAATTGTTTAACATTTCATAGCGGTATAACATGTTACTTTTATTATTCTTCCCTTAGTTTATTTATTTTGTATTTACATTGCATCATAGGTCAAATCTATTTGTTTAGTGTATGTTCATTGGTGTTAATATGTCCTTTGATTGCGTTAAGCCATTTCACTTGATATTTTATAGTGTGTCTTTCTATGTTGTGATGTTACACTATTGTTTCAGAAAAAGGGTGAAGGTTTGGGTTTGGTACCATTAAAACGTTTAAACCCGCTGCAATTGTTTGCACCTGTCCTAAGTCAGGAATCTGATGTTAAGTAGTTGTCGTTTGTTGATATCGTTCATAAGTGTTTCTCGTTTCTCGTTTTTTATATAGATTAGACCGTTGGTTTTCCCGTTTAAATGGTTTTACACTAGTAATTTTTATGCCCTTTATGGCTTGCTGTTTGATGTGAGCCAATGCTCCGTGTTGAAGGCCATACTTTGACCTATAATGGTTTACTTTTATAAATTTTGACTTGGATGGAGAGTTGTCTCATTGGCACACATACCACATCTTCTTATATCTACTTCAGTTATATGGAGACGATTAACATTTTGCCATCGTAAAACAAATGATTAATGAAATTGATAATATTAAGCTTGAAGAAATGCATATTTCAGTTTGATTTTGTTTTGTACAGGTGTGCCTTTTGATAGCAAGTGCAGTTGGAAAAAGAGATTCTGTGGCTTGTGCACAGTGTTGTTCTGATCCAATTAAGAACTCAACATTGATCCCATGCAACGGTTACCTATGCAATCAGAGTAAATACATTTTTAAAAAATACTAGCAAAAATAAAAACCCAACAGTTTACACATACACATTTAGCTGAATTTCAGACAAGTTAAATTAAGAACACAGATTTTAAAGCATGTTTTTGTGATATCCATATAAATCGAGGAGATGGGCATTGCTTGCTGAAGAGAAAACTATCCACCAAAACCCAAATGTTGTTGAAGATAACAATTATAGGTCTACGTACAACCTTCACAAACAAACAAAACCATACCGTTACAAAAGTAATGTATTTGTTATCTAATGCTTAGGTGTATTTCTTTTTCACTACTATGAAACATAGGTAAATATAACAATACCTGTGTATTGTTAAAGCCAGTATGTTAAAATCGAAATTTATTAATAAGATATCATTTTATTCATATCTTAATTCGATTTGTTTTAAATACCAATACTGCTTTAAAGAAAAGAAAACTTCTTTTTTCTGGTGTTGTTAATCATTTTTTGATACATAAATTAAACTAAGTTTTATACTTCAAAATGTACTGATATGTTATACATGTATTATGTAAGACATGTTATAAATCAAAGACAAAGTCATTTAAATACAAATGTCCCTATAAAGAAAAATTGCTACATAAATACAAATATCCTCATAAAGACAGTTTCACATTAAGAAACGCAAATTTACTCCAAACTATCCTGTATTGGTCCAATACCATGGAGGAACTGCTTGGATACTGGTGACCATAATATAACAACCAAATACAGCAAACTGGTGGTTGAAGATATAAAACAAAAACAGCAGCAACTTTTCTCATTTGGGAGGTTGGTCGGGTTTTAGTTAAATAAACTATTTCCTGCAGCACCTGCTTCGTTGTCGACAACAAATTAATAAGTGCCAGCTACGGGAATTCCAAAATTTAAATTCCATGTGAGAGCCATATCTATGGCGATGAGCTAAACAGTGCAACACCCACACAAATATTTGATTGAATTAAACCAGATTGTTGAAAATATAAAATTTGGCTAAACTCTATCGTAAAAATGTGTATCTGGTGCAGTTAGACATGTTAGATTAGTACCGTTCATCTTATAAAGACACAAAGTCAAATAAAGGCAAAACACCACACACAGATTCATAATCACGTAGAGACAAATAATCATATAAAGACAAATAGTCACATAAAGACAAATAGTCACATACAAATATTTAATCACATGAAGACAAATAGTCACATACAAATATGTAATCACATAAAGACAAATTGTCACATACAGAAAAATATTTACGTAAGAATAAAAGGCAACACGAAGAAACATTTTTACATGAAGACAACTAGTTATATAAATGCTATAATCTACAGGAAGACAAATAGACACATGAAGACAAAAAAGTAACATACAGACAAAAAGTCATATAAAGAAAAACAGTTACATGGAAACAAAAAATACATAAAGACATGTAGTCACATGAAGGCAAACGGTCACATAACGACAAATAGTTACATAAAGACATAAAGTCACATAAAGACTCATAGCAATATAATGACAAATAATTACATGGAGACATTAGTCACATAACGACAAACACCCACAAAAAGACAAATAATCACATAAAAACAGTTGACAGAGAGCGGACAATTATCAAACATACATCTATCATATGACATTTTTCAAATATGTGATTAAGTGAATGCGTATGTGTTATATTTGTTAAGGCATTTTCTGAATTTAAAGTGTGGGTTAAACCTTGATTTTAGCTTGGATAACTTCCCACATCGTTTTACTTGTATAGAAAGCCTATTTTATTTTTTGTCTAATTCGTAGCTAATGCCCCTTTAATGCTTGCTGATATATTATTATTTTTAAATCGAGCTCACTTATAAACAACTAAATATTGCTTTTAAAAATATAGCATTGTTTTTCCAACATTTATAGATCCTAAACCAGCAGGATCAACTTGTGGGGTGTGTGACAGGGTCAGTGATCCAAAAGATTGCTCTGTTGACCAACAATGCCAACCAAATGAGGTAGGCAATATTTATGGATTCAAGTGTATACGTACATAAACATATGTCCATTTTCAAAGAAACTATCAGACCATTCCTACTATATTTTTTCAAAGGATGTTCTGTTCATTGTTTTACCCTTTAAAATTACACAACAACAAAATAAAAATAATAATGTATTAATTTTAGTCAATTCAATATTACCAAAATCGGTAATTACAATTTAAAAATTGAATAAAAGTTTTAAAAACCATAAGTTTCTTAAAAGGGATCGTCAAATAAGTTCGGGATATAACATTGATTTTAAAACATAACATCATTTAATAAAAAAGAAACACAGCAATATTTCTAAAGGAAATAGAATTTAAATATATATATTAATATTATTTCCAATCTTATGTTTATATACAATTAACTAGTTTTCATAATAAATATAATTTATAGGTTTGCAAGGTCAATACCCTCTTTACTGGTGGTGCTTTAAAGTATGAACTTGGGTGTGAGCTTAAAACTGTAAGTTTTGTATTTAGGTAGAAGACAAGCTGAGATCTGTTTTAAAACGTCAGAAAATGTATCACTTTGTATCGATTATCTCGGATATAGGCCATCATAATTTTTGTGATTTATGCGTTTTAAATAAATAAATGAATATGTATTAAGATGTTTAGATGTTTAGGAAAACAAGGAAATTGAATAGGTATTGGGTCGTCTCAAATTGACGATATAGCACAAAACAGGAAACAATCATATAAGTCTATATATTTGTGCAACGATATTGATAAAAGATATTTATGTTTGAGTGAGATAAAGTGATTATATTTAGACACAATTGAAGAAACATTTTAAAAAATAGAAGATAATTATTTGAAAGAGGAGTACTTTTCAAACGTTTGGTCTTGAGTGTACATGTGCACTAAAAATCATACATGTATTTCACTTTTTTTCAAGTAATGACCAAATTTACAAATTAAATAATTTTACAGTTTGTTTCAAAGATTTAAAGCTCGGGTAGTTTATTGTAATATAGTTTTGATAATGTAAGCCTTTAATTTCTAATATTGAATATTAATTCTCGCATTTTATAGGTAAAATGTTTAGGTTTGAGATTCAATTTAAATATATTGTGTCTTAATTTGAAATTAAGATACATAGTTCGAAATTCAATATTTGACGGGCTTCAGCAACCAATTGAAAGACAATAAAACTTTCTGTAGTCAGTTTTATTTTTGTGAGCTATTCGATAAAATTAGCTTCATTCAAATTATATATACATTATTTTGTGCTGACTTGCATATACTTAATAATATCATTATATATATATATATATATATGCATGAACTATTGCTTTTTACAATTATATGTTATCCTCAAAATCAATACAAGAATGTTTTATGATTTTGCAGATATGTGATAAAATTTTAAAAGAATATAGAAGCACTCATACTACAGTGGCTACAGGTAGAAGAGCCGACCACGGAGATCTTACGCTATGCTCTGCCTGCTGTGATACTTTAAGTTGTAACAAAGAGCAATGCTCTGACGTTATTAAAAGTAAGATGGTAATTTCCAAAAGGGCAAACAGTTTTAAACCATTAAAAAAAGCTGAACAAAATGGAATAACTCGGGAGAAGTAAACATGTTAAAGGGGTAGGGTTTGTACATGCAAGACCCAAATTTACAGCAAATTTCAAAAATAAAATAAATGATCTTTAATCAGCATTATATTTTGTAGAATTTCTTTTCGTCTTATGTTTCAACTTTTTAGCATAACTATAATTGAAAATGTATAGATGCACCAAAATAACATTTTTAATGTATGGATATACAATATATTATTAAATTGCATTCTTCGTTTATCTATAACATTTACATTTCATCAGATGATGATGTCGATTTTAACTTCTTTACATACAAAATTTAAACGGATATAATTACAGAACATAATATTTCAATATTCCCCAAAAAATGCAATTGTTTAAAGCATTGATCAAGATTAAAGCAATATAAAAAAATCTTATAGTAAATGAGGTCCTCGAAAGTGCAATGCTGCACTTAAGATTTACTGTAACTCTCGAAATGCATATTTTGAATTCATTCTGACCATTGTGACGTTTTTGCATATAGAATTAAGTATTCTTTAGATTCTGACATATAGTCATTACGAAAAGTGTAGAAAATAAATATATACAATTACGTTTTTATTGTATTACTATAATTAGGTACGCGTTTTTGAAAGCCAAAAGTATAATACTTTGTTTGAGAAGTTAAATTCAAAAAAGTTCTAATAGAAAACCCATTACCGTCCAAGTTCAATTTTCCTTCATGGAGTTGAACTTTAGCTTATGCACAATTATATAATATTTTAAAATTTGAAATATACAAACAAAACTATCATTCAAAATATTTAAACAACGAAGCACTAACTACTTGGCAAATGGTTCTTCTAAGTTTGATCAACGTAATCAAGTATTAGCACAAACCCGTATGAAATGAATGCCGTTTGTGCAGCACGTGTTTATGAAAAACAGATTTTATGTAAAGTTATTTGAAAGTAACATATCTTTTTAATCATATCTGATGTGTTTTTTTTTTATAGCTCAGACATGTCACAACTCAACTATTTGTGGTTAAGAAACACAAGGAAGGATTGATTACACAAACATACTGCAATAGTTTAACACTGTATAATAAAATGTTTTTGAATTTCATTCTTACATTTTCTAGGCATCTAAAACATTTGGAACCACAATTTCAAAATAAAAAAAACATATAATATGAAAGCAATCAAATAACATAAAAATTTAAGGCAAACTATTATGATTGAAAAAACGTTACACAGAAGAGTACCCCAAAAAACAAGCCTCCACCTAAAAAATCTTACGCGATTTAAGATGCTGCCACCAAATGTGTTGCTTATGACAAGTAAAAAGAAATCAATGACAAAACTTGAACACAGAATGAAAAACGGGAACATGTCCTTGGTCAATTTGGTAAAAGATATAGTGTAACGGTGAATCAAGTCATGCTAACTTACAAAAAACCAACTTTGACAATATGTCATTAATCTTGAAATATTCTTTGCATGAATTTCTGATAGCATATATGGATCGTGAATTGTAAAGTGTTTATCATACTTTGTCTTATATTAGCCTTATCTTACTCAAGTTGCGTCATTTATCTTTCTAAATGTATTACAAAAGGAAACAACCAACTTGTCAAAGAAAAACATTCCTATATGCGTTTAGGAAAAGTTAAGATGTTTCAGTGCTTCTGTTGTAGTTTCAATAAGAATAGGGGAGGCTAGATTATTTGATTGTTAGTGTTTAACGCCGCTTCCTGCACTCTTGGTATATTGTAGCGGCCAATATTTATTGGTAGAGGAAGCTCGTGTGCAGCAGAGAACCACTGTCAAGCTGTCTCAGAGGGGTTGCAATGTGCTATTCTGGTCAATAGTCCAAAATATCGTCAAAATTTATATCTCCTACAATAATTGTCATCTCAAGATCACTCAAGTATAGTCAGTTAAACATTATGACAAAAAATCCTATCATATATGAACATTTTGCAGGCGTAGAGTCTAAAAGGGGTGATGAAAGGTTTCCAAAGAGGTTACTGTATTAAGAGTCCGATAACTCCTGAAAATATTATTAAATTAAAATGACGATAAAATACGGTCAGAAAAATATTCTGACAAATAATCTTACACTATTACTGTGTATCCGTCGGCCCGTGCAACGAGGGACAAAAAAAGGGAAAGAATGATAGAGTAACAGAGGTTGTAGATTGCACAACTTTGTTAACCTCTTGGCATGTTTTGTATTTTCTTCAAATTGAACGGAAAATTGTAAATGGAGAGAAAACACTTAGATAACCACCTACCCTTTTAAAAGTAAAAAAAACACAAGAAATCACATACATGTAAAAACATATAAAAAGGCAAGGTGAATATCACCGAATTATGAAAGGACGAGGTTATATGGACGTCCCTATTTTGAATTTGCCTTGGAGTTCGGTAGTTTTGTTATACGTTTTTATAACAACGGATCAGCTTAGTATCCGTTGTTATGCATTTTCCAAAGATACTTGCAAAACACCTAAGTAAATATTTATTTGTATATTCACACTCTAATATGAGGATATCCTGATACCAAACACAGTTACAGGAGTATAATATGACATCAGAGATATGTATGCAACGTATTACGATTATTTGGTTATAACGTATAACATAGTCGCTGCCTGGATATCTACTCATACCCTTCAGGACCACTGTAACGTTTTGGGAGATGCTTATTTCTCAATGTTTGCATGTTGGGAACTCTTTTGTCTATTTGTCTCTTTACCATCTTGATTTTGTCTGTCCTTATTACGTATAATATTGATTTGTCTTATTAATTTTGTCTTGTGTGACACGAAAGCAAATCTTCAATAATACTTTTAGGACTAACGCCGTATAAATTTTTCAAATTTGATAAGATTTTCAAATCAGAATAAAGCTATTGTGGTAAAATAAAAAGTTTGTTTTTCTTTGCTTTGTTTCGATGTGATGAGTTAATATAAATAAGAAGATGTAAGAAGCACTTTTCAACTGATTTTTATAGTTTGTTCTTATATTGTACTATTACACAAACTGTCTCAGGTTAAGGGATAGTTGGCGCCTTAAAACATATTTAACCCCGCCACATTATTTAAGTGCCTGTTCCAAGTCGAAGTATGTAGTTCTGTGGTTGTCGTTGGTTCATGTCCGTCAATTTTTTGTTTCGTAAATTGTTTTGTTATAGATTAGGACGTTAGGTTTCTCAATTGAATGTTTCATATTTTTCATATCGAGTCTGTTATTGCCGACTATACAGTATGGGTTTTTCTCATCGTTCGGTTGCCTATATTTCTTACAACCACTTGATTTGAACTTTGGTGGATAGTTGTCTCATTGGAAATCATACCACACCTCATTGTTTTTATAAATAAGTTTGATGGTTGGCTATTCTACTAACATACAAATAAATAATTTTAATAAGATGTCTTTTCAAGAAGGAGGAATTAGTGTTAATAGATATGATATTTCAGATGTGTTACGTAATACAGGTTTTATATTTTTGTTAGTGTGATGTAGAATTTATTATAATGATGGGTGTATGTTTTTGAAACCTTTAGTCAGTTACTCTAAATTACTCTGCTTCTACTGATTTTTCTTCTTCATATATGCTATCAGAAATTCATGCAAATTTCTCTGAAATAAATGACGCAACTTGAGTAAGATAAGGCTAATATAAGACAAAGTATGATAAACACTTTACAATTCACGATCCAACCTTAAGGTTAGTTACACTTATTCATATTTGTATTATTTTTCTGTTTAATGTAAAAGAATCAAGAATTGGGGGAAATATCATCTAAACAAGTCTTTTTCATATTTTGTAAGCCATTTTGACAGAATCGAAGTCAATACTACTGTACAAACTCAGCTTATGCAAATACATAAATTACAAGATTTGGTAAAATATGAGATGTATTTTTTTGCGTTCTCTAAATTTGCATTATCTATTGTTGTCATAAACATAAATAGCCATAAGTTTGTTTTGGTTAAATAAATTATATCATCATTATTAGCGAGATTAGAATTTTGAACGCCAGACGAGCGTTTCGTGACTTATTCCTGGGGTAAAAAATCCTGATAATTTCGAAACTTTCAAAGTTTTATTAACAGTAAATTTGTAATTATGACGAAAATCCGAAACCTCCACCAGCAGTGGCATCGACCCAGTGGTTGTAAATAAACTTGTCCTAGATACCAGGATTAAAATTTTGAAAATTAGACAAAAGTGTCCATAGATTAACTTTATCTATTTTTTACCTGGATGAACATGATAACAAATATTCTTGTAAGAATATAGGGACAATATACAATTAATTTATTCGTTGTCATTTATTGCATACAATTGCTTATAAAAACGCAAGTAGTAGGTAAACTTTTATTTCTTTTTTTTTCAAGAGTAGAAATATGAATAAAACAATTACTGTGTATTGAATATGAGACAGGGTTCACCACAGAATGAAAATCAAGGGTGGGGGAGAAAGTTCATCAAATCAGAGACTTTGTGTTGCGTAGTCGAATCGATTCCTTGTGCATGAATTATTAATTATATGCTTTACAAGTATTGGTCATATATATAGCTAATTTGGAAAGGGGGTCTCACACAGATTTTGTAGTTGGTCCTATAAGTGGTCACCACACTTGTAGGAACATATTAAACAGGGAGAGTAAACACCTGATGTGGTTTCCCAGATTGCAGGAATATTCTGACAAATTTTATCTAAATTGTCTTATGGAAAACCACATGGTAAAAAGGACTAAAAAGATAAAAAAAAATATTAAGTCTCAGAGAGCAACCTGAAAAACAAAAATGTAAAATATATATAAGAAGGATTATATGTTCTTCTTTGTGGAACAATTTCGTGAGAGGATACACACATATTCAACCCTGTGTTATGTTTAATTTCTTTTTTAACAGTTAAAATGGCCGGAAGACACGTTTTAATTACTGGTAAGTTTTGTAATTTCTACACGTCTTCATCCTTTTCGATAGAATCAAAATCAGGATGTAATATTTGATGCTGCTGATGCTCATGATGAAAGTAACACTGTAAATGCTATATATATATATATTTTGTTTGTAAATATTGAAAATAGAAAAGAAATTGAGTCGTTAGGACTCAGCGGCTATAAAATATTTGGTACAAAAGTCGAAATACGATTACGTTTGTATAGCCATTCCACCTACATAAAAATCAATATATTTATCAAAATACAAAATTATGCAAATCTTTTTTCCTTAAAAACCCTTAAAAATACGATATTCACAGTACTAAGTACAGGCTAGAATTAACTATATAAAACCGTCGCTTTACAACCTAATTTTTTGGTGCCAAAATTTCCTACGCCTACACTTACATGTATTGCACATGCGCAAGAAGACAATCAATTCCCGTTATATTTAAGTGCCTCGGGAATTTTTTAGTCTTCTTTCCACTAAATACATTTATACTCAACTATTTAAAGAAAAACACAACACAAACTTATGTTTGTTGACTAGCTCGTGTACTGCATAGAGCAACAAAGATAATAAATATGAAACTAAAACTGCAAGCCTAAAGTCTTTGATACGGCTAACCTACTTTCTACGGAGTCGGCTACATAGCCGTCTTTGCTTGAGTCGCTCTTCCATCTACCATGGCGCTTCCAGTACCTTTCTTTTACACCTGAATTTGCCGCCATAGTGGCACCACCAGACCTAAGCGAATGCAACCCTAGATTCAATTCAGGTGCAACTAGTTTTAATCTCTTAATAACGCACTCCCTAGCAGTAGTGTAACTAATAGGTTTGTCAATACTAATTAAAGCATATTTTTTCTTACTTCTGTATAATGATCGAAATAAAAACATATCAGTATCCAAAGCTAATTCGGCTAAACTAACATATCTAAAAAACATAGCATAAGGACAAGCCAAAGTATGCCCTTTGCAAATTAAAATCTCGTCACTTGATCTGTACTGATCAGTCTTACTCCTCCTAATTTTGATAACTAAATGATCATCTTTTACAATAATATCGTTACATCTAAGTTGACTTAACTCGTTAAAACGTAAAAAACCACTGAAACCTAGCACAGTCATCAAAAGAT